TCCAAAGGCCAAATGATCTACAAAATTGACCAGAATTAACCTAATTTTTGGGGTACGATCTACACAAAATCGAAAAAATCCGCCCATATGTCCCAACCCTAATATTAATCGATTTTAATTAATATCGTGATGTACCTGGCTTTAGCCATCCCCCAAACGTAGTAATGTTAAAACGTTATGTCGGCATCACTAATCTACACTAACCAAAACAAACAAATATGCTAAAGTCATAAAACCTTATGTTAATAACTGGCAGATTAAAATGAAATCAGATTAAAATGAGTGTAAAATAGACAAGCCACCGAAAAATACAAATTTTTAGGGTGCACTTTTTTGGCATTTTTTTAGGGTTAGGAATTTTTTAGTGTTAGTATTAGGGTTTAGAAGCAGATTTTATAATAAACAAGTATAGGTGGGTTTTAGGGGCTCAAATAGAAACCCTTCATTTCAATTTAATCCAGATCGCGATAGTTGATACGAATTGAACAAAAAAATAAGAATATATGCACCAGAATTGTATTCACTACATACATATTTTGTTTATAAATACTGTATAAATTGACGATTTTTAGACACAATTCGAGCCAATAATTTAACTTTATTACGGTTTGCAAGGTGGGTAATTACTTATAACTTCGGTTGGTGAAGTGTAATATGAAAGTTGTGGGATTGAAAGGATTAAGTAAATATGTTGTGAGGCAATGCGTGAACTTAAGTTTATCTAATAATTTGCCATGTTTGATAGAGAAGATAATCTACCCGAGCTTTGAATAAAAGCATTGTATAAACATTTATTGTTAAAAAAATTTCTTAAAGATAGTAGATTTTGAAAGTCCTGAATAACAGGTTTTTAAACAAAATCTAAGGTTTTTTTTTAGCTTGCCAATATAAATTAAGTCTAATATTAGTTTATTCAAACTGAAAGAAAAATATACATACAAGATATTTTTTAAAAGGGATTCATTTAGAACTTTAGTGTTGTCATTAAGGAGGTTTTTCTTTTTCCTCTTACCGATTTGTTACCAGTTATTTAAAGGTGCATTGCAATGATTGAAAAAAGTATTAACGTATGGTTTTAACCAAACATCGCATTGAATATATTTTAATGTTAACGGCAATATTTTTGCAAATTGCATAACTCGTATTTCCAGTTCTTTATCTGGTATGTTGTCAACCTTGCACCATAATAGGAGAATTTGAAGCTTTTGTGAATTACCAAGAAGATCTAGGAGTTGTGTTGAAAACCTAATTTCCTTAATATAGAGGTATGTGATGTTTGGACGATAGTTTCATTCCGTACCAGTCAAAATTACGAAGCCGAACAAACTTCCATCTCTCACTAGAAATATTCATCTTGAAGAAAACATCTGACCATGCCTTTTTTTAGTTAAAATGAAAATGTGTTAATACTAAATCAACTATTCATACAGACTTTTTCAATTAAAATTACTAACTCTCGTAAACACTTAAAAGCGATAAAAACATTTATCAATATATTAAAGAATTACCCAAATGTTGATTCGAAATCTGTTAATAACATTCTTTCAACCTATATAACAATGGTGTTCAATAAGTTAAATGATGTTGATAACTAATACTATATTAAGCATTATATGACAAACTTACTCCGGGAACATCAACAACTCCTAACTCTATTTCACTGTCGTCTTGAATCAAGATGACATGCCTAAATTCCGTTAGACTTAAATTATGTATTCTAGTCATTATATAATATGAGATTTTAACCATTGTCGGATCTTGCTTTTGAAGTTTCTAATGCAAAGAAGGATTATTGATTAAAGCTTATGATTTAGATTTTTCAAGAGCAAACAATCATTACCTCAATACATTTAGCTTCTTCATCGTTAAATAATTCAAAATGTTTGCATTCAAGATGGTTCTTGAATATTTGGCTTGTAAATGAATATGTATTTTGTGTATATTCAAAATTCTTATTATAGATAAAGAATATTATAAATAGTTAAAATTAAGGATATGAATTTTAAATTTAGAATAAATATATAAAATTCATACTTAAACTTCTACTCGTTACATATTGCATCAAGTATTGTGCTTATTTCCGAATATAATTTAATAGTCCATTTCCAATTTTTGTCAATAAGTTGCTATTATTAAATAACAATAAAATTTAGATTCAAATGGGTTGTAAGTTTCGAGCAATCAGTAAAAATATAACCTTATTGCAGACATCCATGACCCTTTGAATAATATCACTATAACGTCCTGATAGAAAAACTTGTGGTGTTATTGTAACAATTCCGCCTAAATATATATATATATATATATATATAATTACAATATAATGTTAGTCAAATAAACCACAAAAAACACCTTAAAAAATCCCATATATTCTAAATCCATTTCGTGACATGCATATTCCCAATTGAATATCATAAATCCAAATTATACATACCAGAAGGAAAACATTCGACAAGATTAACATGATCAGGTGAGTATAAATCACATCCAAATATATGAAATTTACAATCCTGTTTATACTTAAGATCAATTAATCGCGGTATTGATCCAAGAAATTAACGTGAATCTGTATTATAAATATTAATTAGCACAGAGATGGAATAAATATATATGGTAAAATAGCCAAGACATTAAACTTACTAATAAAAGTCTTGATCATGTACTCCACCGAAAAATTTAACAGCTTCAATAACTTCTCTAACTTCAAAATTTTCTCTTTGACCAAACACACCAAAACGTACATAATTTTCTCTAATACGGGAGCGTATTTAAGTTTTTGCAATTTTTCAGTTCCTCGAACTCTGCGTTATATGTACATCTTTCTACAACTTCTTTTAAAGAATTTTTTGACTTTCTAAAGCTGAAATGATGTCGTAAAATTCCGTAGAGCTTTCATTTGCAACTAGGCAAAACTGCCTACTTTCTAACTGAGATGGATCAAGAACCTTTAAAAATCTTGCATAATCGAATAGTGTTTTGGAAAATCCACATTCTTTTAAAATAAATTTTTCTTCATCGTTTAGAGATGAAAAATATCTAGAAATTAATAAAGGTTTTCGTTTTTTAAATAAAAATGAACTCGCCAAAGAATAGGTATTGACATTTTGCACCAATGCAAATCTTCATATAGGCCATCAAAATCATCATCAGCACCTTTCAAATACCACTCGATCGTCATTCTTCCATTTTTGTCAATATTTATACCATCTTGGTAGTATAACCCAAAGTTATATTGTTGACCTGGATTTCCATTTTCAGCTGATTTAGAATACCTTTTTAACTTCAATTCCATTTTCATCACAATAACCAGCACTATATATTCAATCGGCATTCTCTACAGTCTTTAAAATCGTTCTCTCTATTCCAATCATCTTCAATACATTTCAATGACCGTTTGAACGACCAACAAACTGATTCTGGATGAAAATCGAATGCCTTGTATTCATCGTAATCAACTCCAGTTCTATGAAGAAGATAGTTATCCATATTAAATGTTTTATCAGAATCATCTGTCCCAAAAGATCCCTGATGATAAAGGAATTTCTCATATTCATGTTTTTCGACTACATTTACCATATCAGAAAATTTCACATAATAAATGGATGCTTTATCAACATCTTTTTTAACGCCAATTCTATATTGATAACACCATCCAATATCATCTCGTCCATCGTAAACATTGCTTTGCTTATACCATATTGATGGCATTCGGGTGCCCTAGATTCACCTTTAGCAGATTTTTGGCGATAAATGAATGCCGTATGTTCATCATTTCAATTTTCAAATCTATATTCACACTTTTCAGCACAAATCCCGTTTTCATGTCGATATCCAGCGATCAATGTCATCCACTTCTTGATAACCGACGAATGTCTCATATATATGTGCATTCTTTTCCTAATTAGTTTCGTTTTGTTAACAACCACCTTGTTTGTATGCTCCACTATTGTAATCCAAATCGATGGGTTTTTGATAGTATTCTAACGCTTTATTTTCATCCATTTTAACACGATTTCTATTCGTGTCACCCAGATCTGCTGATTTCATATCCGTTCGATTCCTGCTTCATCACAATGATCTATCCTTGAATTAGGTAAGATCTCTTTTCCTCATTCATGATTTTCTCTAACATTATTGACATCGTCTTTTCGTTTTCACCATCATCATCGCATTTTACATCACTTTCATTCTCGTTCATTTAAACTCTAATTCCATCTTGATAACCATCTCCAGGGTCATTTGTTTCATCACTTTCCGATTTTATTTCCTTTTCGTTCATTACGTTCGTACATCCATTCACATTTCTCATATTATTCTTTCGTTATATTCTCACTTGATTTCTAACATTATTCTTTTCATCTTTTATGGGTTCATACCATTTCTATGCCACCTAGAGTCACCGGATTTACCACCATCGTCGTTTTCATCTGCAATTCCCATTTCATCGAGTTTTTGATAATGGATTGTGTTTGAACAACTATTTACTCAATCACGATCTACATACATAATACACAAACTGATAACCTGGGTACCAATTAACCCATGACATTAACGGCAATATTTTTGCAACTTGCATAACTCGTATTATCAGTTTTTGTCTGGCATGTTGTCAACCTTGCACCATAATATAACTTGAAGCTTTTGTAAATCACCAATAATATCTAGGAGTTGTGTGGAAAACCTAATTTTCTTAATGTAGATATATCTAATGTTTGGACAAAACGTATCAATTGCTCTTAGAGACACCAAGTCTTTCAAAAACACTTCAGAATTGAGTTCTAATTGTGTATAGATATTCCATTTTTTAGTAAGACTAAACTCATATACCGTGCACCAATCTGGGGGAATGAACTATTTAAGTGCTAATTGTATAATCTAATGTTTCTCTAATACGAAACGTTTCGAAAATTTTACAATTTTTCAGTGGCTCATAATTAAAATGAAATTGATTCAAAATACTTATTGTTCTAGTTGAAGCCCGGTGTATAATATTCAAAGACAAACATTGTAGCCGTGAAAAAAATTGTTATTTCGTTCTAATGAGTAAAAGATCTCTGGCTTAAACTTGTAATATTTATATAAAGCGAATTTATGCAATGTGGCGCCAATTTCAACAAATAATTTGAATAGTAATTACGGAATGAATTGTTGTGTCCATTTTTTAACTCCACTTTCTAAATAAGATAGATCAAGAGCCTTTAAAAATCTTGCATAATCATTTGAAACTTCTGTAACTATCTCACATTCTTTTAAAATAAATTTTTCATCATCGTTAAGACTAGAAATGAATAAAGGTCTTCGTTTTAATAAAAATGGATCTCGCAAAAGAATAGGTATTGGTATTTTGCACCAATGCCAGTTTACAAGTGCACATGAGTGTAGTAAGGAAAGGAATAAATTTCATTATTTATTTAGATTATTAATATTTTCCATTAATTCAGACGTATGTACGTACGTACGTACGTACGTACGTACGTTATTATTATGTCATAGCCCATAAATAGCCATCACCTATCAGATGATCTACACAATCGAGTTAAACTTCCCCAGGATCGCCACCAAAACACTAATAAAATTTTTTCGATCACGTGAAATTATCCAATAACAAATCACGCCTTGGTGTAACGTGAAGATCAAAACAA